TTCTTATGCCAGTTCCACCGTGTCTGGATTACTGTAGCATTGTAGTAAGTTTTGAAATCAGGAAGCATGAGTCCTTTTTTTTTTTGAAGGATTTAAAAAAAAATTTTTATTGTTTTTATTTTTTGTTTTTTAAGTAACCTCTCTCCCCAATGTAGGGCTTGAACTCACAACTCTGAGATCAAGAGTCACATGCTATATGGACTGAGCCAGCCAGGTGCTCCAAAGGATTTTTTTTTTTAATCCGGTGTAGTTAACATACAGTGTTATATTCATTTCAGTCTTTTTTTTTTCAAGGGTGTTTTGACTATTCTGTGGGCATCACTTCAGCAGGTCTCACTTAGATAGGTCTAATGCTTAGTTTTGCAGTTCTAGGCCTTTGAAAAAATTATTGAGGTATAATTGACATATATTGGTTTCAGGTACATAACATAATGATTCAGTATTTGTATACATTGGGAAATGATCACCACAGAAAGTCTAATTAACATCCGTCACCATACATAATTACAAACTCTTTTCCTCTTGGGATGAGAACTTTTAAGATTTATTCTCTTAGCAATTTTCAAATATGCAATATAGTATTATTAACTATAGTCACCATGCTATACATTACATCCCTATGGCTTATTCTATAACTGGAAGTTTGTATCTTTTTAAAAAAAAAAAAAAGATTTATTTATTTGAGAGAGAGAGAGCACGAGTGGGAGGGGGAGAGGGAGAGGGAGAGAGAACCCCAAGCAGACTCTGTGTTGAGCGCAGAGCCCAGCGCAGGGCTTGATCTCACAACCCTGAGATCACGACCTGAGCCGAAACCAAGAGTTGGCCGCTCAACCCACTGCACTACCCAGGCACCCTGGAAGTTTGTATATTTTGACCCCCTTCACCCATTTTTCCCACCCACTACCCCATCCTCTGGCACCCACTAGTCTGTTTTCTGTATCTATGAGCTTGGTGGGGCTTTTGGTTTTTTAGATTTCACATGTAAGTGAGATCATGTGGTATTTGTCTTTCTCTGTCTGACTTACTTCACTTAGCATAATACCCTCAAGGTCCATGCATGTTGTTGCAGTGGCAAGATTTCATTCCTTTTTATGGTTGAATAATATCCCATTGTGTATACATACCACATTGCCTTTATCTATTTCTCCATTAATAGACACTTAGGTGGGAGCACTTGGCTGGCTCAGTCAGAAGAGCGGGCGTTCGACTCTTGATCTCGGGGTCGTGAGTTCAAGCCCCACACTGGGTGTAGAGATTACTTAAATAAGTAAATAAACTTTAAAAAAAAGTAGACACTTGGGTTATTTCCATGTCTTGGCTATTGTAAATAATGCTGCAGTGAACGGGGGTGGGAGGGGTGCAGATATCTTTTAAGCTAAGGCTTTTGTTTTCTTCAGATAAAAACCCAGAAGAGGAATTGCTGGCTCATTTGGTAGTTCTATTTTTAATTTTTGAGGAACCTCCATACTGTTTTCTATAGTGGCTGCACCAATTTACATTTCCATCGACAGTACACAAGGGTTCCCTTTTCTCTGTTACTCTCAACACTTATTTCTTGTCTGTTTGATAATAGCCATTCTAACAGGTCTGAGGTGAGTTTTAGGATCTTGAGTGTATCAGTTTCCCCCAAAAGTGAACAGGTGCCAGAGCACTGGTTCGTATTTCTCAAACTTGCCAGGAAATATCATTTGACGTACGTGCATTTTGGGGTATTTCTTTTTTGGTGTCCTGAACCAAAATGCCTGTAGGGCAGTTCCCCCTTCTAAGATGCCAAATTCATAACCAAGAGGTTGCTTGCTAAACATGCAATTGGAAACTACGGCTGAAGGGAGGGATATAGTGTAATGCTTAAGAGTTCCAGGCTTTAGGACCAGCCAGCTCTAAGTTTGAATCCTACCTCTGCCACTCAATGATTGTGTAAGCAGGGCAAGATTTTGAACCCTATTCATCTGAACAGTGGGGAAAATCATCCCTTCCTTATAGAATGGTTAGGAAGGTAAAATGAAATAATAAACGTAAGCCCTTAACACTGCCTAGGACTAACTAAATTTCAGTAAATGGTACCTATTGGACTTGTGGAATGTTTCCTTCAGAGTGTGAAGAACCGCTCTTGTCATAGCACAGGCTTTCTGGTGACTTGAATCATTGTGCCTGTAAATAGAGGACCTTTTTGGTGTGAGAGGCACTAGATAGGACTGGAGCCAGTTTTCCTCTAGAGTGGGATACAGGGAGCTGGAGAGCATTGCCACCACGCCCTCTGGACATTCCATTGCCTGGCAGAAATGGTAGGCCAGGGTTGCTATATTTTGATGTTACTGATGATAATTGATTTTTGTTCATTTAAATTGCAGAGGGTAGGGGCACCTGGCTGGCTCAGTCAGAAAAGCATGCAAGTCTTGATCTCAGGGTCATGAGTTCGAGCCCCACATGGGGTGTAGAGATTACTTAAATAAATAAAACCTTAAAAAATAATTAATTAAAAAATTGCAGAAGGTAGTATTGACTGATCCAGCCTGTTAATTCTGGGACTTAGAGCCATCCTTTGCACCCAGAGTCCATATATTCAGAAACCTCAGTTACCAAGAATACCACTGAGATTTAAGAAATAAGTTGAACAGTCAAAATAGATGTCACAAAAACTCACGCACTTAACCCACAAGAGAATCCCACAGAAAATCATTACTCAAAACCCGAGAGTCTAAACTAAAAAGTTTATCAGTGTCTATTCATAGAATAGAAGCATCAAGGAAGGAAGGAAGGAAGGAAGGAAGGAAAAAAGAAAGAAAGAAAGAAAAGGGAAAGAATGAAAGAAAAGAAAGAAAGAAAAGAAAAGAAAGAGAAAGAAAGAAAGAAAAAAGAAAGGGAAAGAAGGAAAGAAAAGAAAGAAAGAAAGGGAAAAAAGGAAAGAAGGTTGTTAGGTAGAAAAATAGAGAAATGTCAGTCCAGTAGTGAGGAACAAGACATAGAAAAAGATGGATGTAAGTTTAAAATAATAACAGCTTTCTAGAGGCCATTTTTCATAAGGAAAAATAGGTCTACATACTTCTGAGGGCATTCATTGATCATAATAGAATACAATAACGCTGATAATGATAATGATGCTCTTTAATCACCAAGTGTAAGTAATGTTCAAAGATTCAAGAAAACATGAGTTTTCTTGGGGAGAAAATTTCTGTAAAAAGTAGCTAAAGTTTTAGACAAGATATGGAATGTCTTATTCTCTAACATCTCTAAACGAGATGTTACTGGCCTTAAATTCGGTTCAACAGGTTGAATTTGCAAACGAAAGCAGTATTCAAATAAGAAGTGGTGTAGGGAGCTCAGGGGTGAACTGTTTCTGTGCATTCTTATCCTAGTATGTGGTTGTTATTAAGTATCCTTGAGGGGAATCAAAGCTGTAATTGTAACTTCTCTCTCAGCAGGGTTCCCTCCCAGCCCCTTCAATATCTGAGCTAAATAGACTTGTGTTGATCCACGCTGGAGGGCCTGCACGGGGAATATAAAGAGTGAAATTACCTGGTAAACTAGCACTCTGTATATCGCAGCCATTACCTTCTGGTCAGGCATAAACAAGCCCAGTGACATTGCTCTATGCTTCTTCGTGGAGTCTGAAATTCAAGAGTTTTCTGTCCACTGTAAGGTGAATGAATGCTAAATATCACCCACAGTGGATTTGAAACGGTGTTAAACAGTTTCCAACAAACATAAGGTAGACAGAGTGAAGTCCTGACATCCCATTATTTTGTCTATCTCTCATTCTCATATGGATTTTAAAGCTTTAATTAGGCATTAAAGCCAGCCCAGAGCCTGAAAGAGACCCATAGAATTTTAGAGCTGGAAGGCTTTTAGAAAATTTGTCCAGCCTCTTCATTTTACAGAAGGGAAAACCGAGGCCCTGGGACATGTTACGATTTAATGTAGGTCACACAGTTAATTAGTGACAGAGCGAGAGGGAAGCCAGGTGTCCCCACACCTTCGTTGGACAGTGGTTTTCTAGTAGGCCACCTGCTCCTAGACTAATGCCCTCCCCGCCCCCGGTTTGTTCTTTCTTTCCCTTAATAGCTGTGCAAATCAGAACGTGGGCCTGAACGTCGGGAAGACTAGGTGTCGGCCCCAGCTCTCCACCACTTGAGGTGCGCACTCGCTCGCTCTCTACATCAGGACTTGGGGCTGGGTCTCTCTTTAGCCTGGCGCCTTCTCCATGGCAGGTGCGTCGCACCTGGGCTGAATCGCTGCATCATCGCGGCGCCACTGTCCTTGCTCCCGATTTTACAGCACCGGCGCGTGTCACGGCGGTGTCAGAGCGTAAGGAGGACGCGGGTCCGAATCCACGCCGTTTGAAAAGGGAGGTTCAGGACACCCTCTCAGTTCCCGGTTGGCCCCGGGCTGGCGGAGAGACGCCCAGAGCGTGAGTGACCTCGGCGCCAACCCCGCCACTGGTCAGCTCGCGGCCGGGGCGTGCCTGCCGGGCCTGACGTGGCGGCGCGGCCGCGGGGAGGGGAGAGGCCGTCGCGAGGGCGCGGCCTGACGTGGCGGCCGCGGCGGGGGGGCGAGGGGAACCCGGGCCACTGCACTGCCCCGCGCTCCGGCCAGAGGGCGCCCGGCCCCAACACTTCCCCGCCCCGGGACCGCCCTGGGCTCCAGGAGTAACCGCACCGGCGATTGGGTCGGCGGTGCGGCGGGGCCATGTTGGAGCCGGGCGACGACCCCGCCTCCCGCCGCCCTCCGCCCCGGGTCGGGCCGGGCCGCGAGGGAAGCGGAGCAGGGAGAGGGATCCTCCCTCCCGGGTCGCCTGACGCGGCAGGAGCGGCGGCTGGAGCGGCCGCGGTCACAGCCGCCCCTCCGAGCCCCGGCCAATCAGCGGCGCGGGCACAAATATGCAAATGGCGCGCCGGTGCTGCCGGAGTGCCGCTCGCAGGGGCTGGTGGGGTCGCGCTGGGGGAGTGAACTGGGCCAATCAGGCGGGTGCGTGGCGGCGCGGGGGAGGCGGTGCCCCTTCACTCCTCCCTCCTCTCCCTCCCGGCCCCGCGCTGACAGGGGGGCCTGGCCGCGCCGCCGGTAAGTGCCGCCGCCGCCGCCGCCCGCCGTTGCCACCCGCCACCCCAGGCGTGGGGAGGAAGCCCGGGGGTACCGCGGGGCAGCAGCCGCTGCTCAACTGGTGGGGAGAGGCGGGGGCGGGTTCTGTCAGCCGGGTGGTCGCCTGAGGCCGCCCCCGCCCGGACAGCCGCGCGTGTCAGTCTCGGTCGAGGCGGGGGGCGGCGGGGGCGCCTCAGTCATGGCGA